TTTTAACGTTTCCTCAGGTTGAAGAAATGTTAAAAAAAGTTTTGGTCTTTATCGTAGAAACGAGGTTTACAGTTTTGTAGTGGGTATGTGCATGTTCTAATATAACACTGCATAATATATATATATATATATATATATATATATATATATATATATATTATATATATTATATTAGAACATATATATTAGAATATATATATATATATATATATATATATATATATATATATATATATATATATATATGATAAAGTTAATTAGTAATCCATATGGATAATTCCAAGGAGGATATAAATCCCGAGAGTATAGGATTGGTGTATATGGAATAAATTCTAATAACCAAAAATACTATTCTTGAAAGAGTGCTCAATACAAAGTAGAGCAAATATAATTTATTCCCAAATTATAACATAAATATGTTATAAAATCACTACAATAATAGCCATTTTGTTTCAACATTTCTGGTGACTTATCAAGTAATATAATCTCATCACTTGATAAGACACCATAAGTGTTGAAACAAAATGGCTATTTTTGTAGTGATTTTATAACATATTTATATTATAATTTTCGAATATATATATATATATATATATATATATATATATATATATATGTCATTCGATTGTACACTGTTAAATTTTTTACACTCTGCCAAGGATTAACGAATATTTTGGGACAATATCAATTCTTTAGGAAAACTTGTTTGAAATATGCCTATAATTAAAACCCTATAATTGATGAAGGGAGGATTTTCATTGCTCTTCGGAATTTTTAGTTATACCGATTGCTAAGGATTCCGTTTCGAGTAATCATGATATTGCCTTTCAAGAATTCTTTGTCTACAATAGCTCTTTATCATACGTGTGTTTCTTTGTATAGCGAATATTTGTGGCGAAGGTAAGAAAGATGAAATTAATCTTGGGACATTTGTTGAGTCTGCTGAGAGGTTTATGGATATTTATAATAAGTGCGCATTCGTTGCTACTTACTTGGACCTCCTGGATTAGACTGATAATAAAATTAGACATGATCCCAAAAGAGCCAACAAAAGAACTTCATCGTCTTGCTGCAGGCATTTTACCATTTCTGTTCCTATTGGTTTACTAATTACTCTGAGAAGATTACTACTCTCATGTATTCCCACTTGTCAAGATGTCTGAAAAGGCAATTGAATGCTTTCAATCGTGATAGAAAACAATGTGATTCATCCCATTGAAGGCACAATTTGTTTTAGAAACGAATGCCTCCTAGCTTGTTATCGTTGCCACTTTAAATCAAACTGGTATGCAATTGGCTTTCTATTCAATGTCATTAAATATCCAGCAATGTAAAAGATAATTGAGGAACTGCACAATTGTCATCGTTTTACACGTACCAAATAGAAATTAGCGCCATTAATTGTTGATTCTAATCTGACGAATAAACTCAGGAATAACAGAATACAGAAATAAAGGATTCGATGAACTTTCTAGATTTTTGATATACATTACCCGTATATCATTCTTCATCTTCTATGTTCAATATCCGATGAGGACTTGGGTGGGGGTGTTATGATTCCTATTCTTTGTATCTCTTCATCGTCTTACTATTTCCTGCAGTTCATATTCTATTATCTATTGACGCCACATGGTTAAATAGTTTTTGTTTAATCATTTCCCCCTAAGCAAGGCAATAAAGCCACTAAGACGCAAGGGTTTTCTCAGTGTGAGAGGATAGGAGAAAAAGAAAACAATTATTATGAGGGAACAATAAAAGAACAGGAATTAAGAAGAGAGAAAATAATGACTGATAAGAATATTTTTGAATATGAAAATTGACTGGAAATTTGAAGCTAGTCGCGAGTTCCACAAGTGATAAGTGCGAGAGTAGCAACTGTTATAGCATAGAATGTACGTTTATATCTATCAATTTCAAATGGAAAATGTTTACTCGGTGTTACGTCTGGCTATCTTGAGTGGAAAATCTTGCAAACCCTTTTTCCTCATTTTGTGTAAAAATCGTTTCTGATACTAAGAATAAGTGTCCTTTTTTTAAAATATTTTCCTTAAAGCTTCCTCGTCACTCACATGTTCAGTCCATGGTATTCTCAGTTTGGGATAGCATTACCATTCAGCAAGTATATATTCCAATACGCACTAGCATATATATATATATATATATATAGCTTGTCTCGCTAGAACAATTAAGACTGAATAGTGAGTTCGATCCTCACTGGCTGCCCCATACTTTCGGCCTTGTGCCACATCTAAGCTACGCTTGAAAAATCACTATATACATATGTTTGCAACAAATCTGAACTTTATTTTTGGTTATCCACATTTCAGTAGACTCACTGTTTCATAAACTGTGTAAATTAATTAAATATTACAATTCGAAATATATAATTTTCTCTGAAAGAAAAGATGTCTGACAAATTGTCAAAAAGGTTTTGCGTTGTGTTTCATCCGTAACGACTTCATCGAACCGGCATTGCTTACATTGTTGTAACTACACATGCGCACAAATGAAATACGCTTGGAGTTTTAAATTTGAAAGAAAGATTCACAACATCTCACGTTCGTGCGCATGTATAGCCACAACAATGTAAACAAACCCAGGCCGATGATGTCCTAACGGATGAAACGCGTCACAATTTTTTTTCCTATTTGTCAGACATCTTTTCTTTTAATACTACATTTTATATATACAAAAACAAATGTATAAATGTTTATATATCGTCATCACAGACACGCACACATACACACACACATACATATATTTGTGTATTTAAGCAGCAATCCTCTCATGCACATTTACTGAATATGACAAAGTGCTATGATTTAGTTTTTTTATACAATTTCTCATGTGATCTTATATTTATGTTTCTTTTCGGGGGACAAATTCTATAAAAACTGTCCAATTCTTTCTTTTCGAGTGCTTTCGGCTATACATTTATATATATTTATACATATATGTATATTTCAACCTTGAAATTACATGCTTGAAATATATATATAAACATACATACATAATTCTGGTCAGCCTGTGAAAGTATTGTCTAATGTAATTGAAATTTTATTTAACATTAGAAACGCCTTAAAGATGCAATCCCAAGTAGGCAAGAATGGCCATGTTCGACATATTCTAGCCTTTGCTTTTAATCAAAGTCATAAAGCTGTTAGAATCAAATCGTTTGTGTTGAGTGCAGAGATGACTTCATTACCGACAAAATTATGTGAAATGCTTACACAACCCAAAATATCAAGGCTGAGCTGTATGTTGGATAAACGAATAGGCTCAAAGAGGTAATTTAACTGAACAAATCTGACCGACGATACCGTGAGATTATTCGACATGACAGTGCTCATCCCCACATCGAAAACATGAACAAACATGCAATTAAAGGGTATTTAGTCAGTGTTGATGGATTAATTCATTGCAATTGGTAGGGGGTTGATATTTATTACTTGGAGGATTAGTTATTAAATATGTTTAAGATATTTTTGCCAGTATTAAATTCTATTTTATTTATGTTGTTGTTTTTTGTTTTTTAATTATGATGGATTAAAGAATTTGTAATCGTTGTTTTTGGAGAGGATTTTGGTATTGTTGATTAGGATTTTTCTTATTCCTGCGGATTTGAATCTGTTACTAGTTGTAGATTGTGTTATTATCAGGTGAGAAAGAATACTTACGAATCAAGAAAAAACAGAAAAAAAACATTATTAAACGAATATATATATATATATATATATATATATATATATATATATATATATATATATATATATATTACCAGACATGTGTTAAACACAACGGAACTTTTTTTTTTTTTTTTTCGATTAATAATCTTTTTTTTGTTTTCTTGTTTTCTCGTAAGTTTTTCTTTTTTTTATATTTGGTTCTAAGTTGTTGTAAAAAAAGTGCCCAGTCTTTGGTATTTTGCCGACGGCTTTCAGTTATCGTCAATCATCATCATGGCTGTATGTTTCGGTTTTGAGTAGGTTGTTTATTATTTTATTTTTATAGATAATGATATAATGGAATATGCGTACACATGTGTTCCCCCTCACTGGAGTGTGATTGGCTGGTGTCCGTCATAAATACCGACGGACGTGTAGCAGAGTCAAGAGCCTTAGTCTGAGAGCTAAGTCTATAACGACGCCCATTGGACGACGCCATTGATCTACACTTGTTACCTGCGACTACGAAGTGTACCAGTCGATTACTATTACCGTATTCTACTTGGTTATAGTAGCCAAAACCACTTAGCTATTTCGTTCAAATATATCCCTTTCCGGGACTTATCAGATAATATTTTGGGCATTTAGTCAATGTTATTGGATTAGTTCATTAGCAATTGGGAGAGTGATGGTATTTATTATTTGAAGGATTAGTGATTGAATATGTTTAAGATGTTTCTGTCAGTATTAAATTCTATTTTATTTGTGCTGGGTTTTTGTTTTTTAACTCAACATAAGTTGCATTTAATACTAGATGATAATTAGAAAAAGAGAATTAGAAAGAAAGTTCATTATACGGAAAAGATCCGTAGTCTTTAACAACAAATGCCTCAATATATATATATATATATATATATATATATGCATAAAAGAAAATAAATGCAATCGAGAGAATATATCTATTGGAAAAGAAAAAAAATAAATTAGTTGAGTAAAGTGAATATTGAACAATTTTCTCACAGATGAAAAGAAAACCATAGCCAGTAGAAATATGGTTCTACAGAAGGATGCTGAGAATTTAATGAACGGAGCGTGAGAGGAGGATTTAAGGAAAATGGAAAGCAAAAAGACAAATATACTCAGAATCAGAAATAGACAACTGAAATTTCTTGGACATAATATAAGACTTGGGAAATTTGATAATCGCAAGACATCGAAGGCAAATGGGAAATGAAGGTGAATGGGGTGGACAGGCCATCTTCCTGCCAAGCTTAGGGGAATGGATGGCAGGGCGCGAAGTGGGAGGGATTGTAAAAAGACGAATGTTAATAATAGTTACAAAAGGTAAGAAAAAGAAGAAGAAGAATGAGGAGGAGGTGGACGGGAGTAGGAGGAGGACGAGAAGAAGAAGAAGGAGTAGTAGTTTGAGGAAGAAGTAAAAGAAAAAGGAAGAAGAAGAACGAGGAGGCGGAGGAGGAGAGTATGAGGAGAAGGAGAAAGAGTAGTAGTTTGAAGAAGAAGAAAAAGGAGGAAGAAGAGGAAGAAGAATGAGAAGGAGGAGGTGGAAGAAGAAGAAGAAGGAGGAGAAGGAGAGGGAAGAGGGGGAGGGGAGGATTTGAGAAGAAGAAGAAGAAGAAGAAATCCAATCTAGTTTGCCGCACGATCACAATCGTTGTCTATTTTCATTGCCCGAGTGTATTTAATAATTCTAGCTTTTCAAGCATCATTACACGCCAATGAATTATGGTTTTATTAAATGGTTTATCTTTCTAAATATAATGATTTTAAACCATCCCATTTCGACTTGGATATTTCGTGAGACACAGTCTTCGTTCTACTTTTGCCTAACCCACTGTTAAGCCCTTGTGAAAGACTAACTTAAACTTAATAGATATCGATAACTTTCTAATGCATTTAAGTATCGATATGTGCACGAGTTGCAGGCATTGCCTTTATAAGTGCATTCGTATTATCACATTTAAGAGTATATATGTTTTTTTTTATTATTCAGAAAGCAATGCAAGTAAGTGTCTGTATGGCTGAGTGAAGAGGGATGCCTTTAATTTATTCAAACATCTAAGCGCGCACAAGGACGAAAAATGCGTATGTATTTAGTAGGTGAACGGGTCGCAGAAGGGTTATTTTTTTTGGCCTGTTTGCCGGTGTCTCGGAAAGCCTAATGGACTGACTGAAAGGAATGCTTTTAAACCAGCCTTGGCTTTTTCAAAATCACGTATTCCTTGTTTTTTTAAATTTTTTATTCAGTTTTTTCTCAAACAGCATAAACATGATGATTCCTACTTATCCACACCGACTAGCTCATATTACCTCGTTCGAACTCACTTTACCTGTCTCTCTCTCAATTCAATTCTTTCATACTATATACCAATGTTGATTTTTTTATCTTATGATTTCCTTTATCTGTTAAACATCTTCTTCCTCTGCTTTCTTTGCTTGTTGTTGTTGTTGTTGTTGTTCTTCTTCTTCTTCTTCTTCTTCTTCCTTGTCTTTTTCTTCGTAATTATTTTCTTCCTTTCCTTCTTTTTCTTCCTTTTATTCTGCTTCCTTTTCTTCTTTTTCCTTTTCTTTTTAATTTGTTATTTTTCTTCTTCCATTCTTACTTCTTCCTTTTCTTTTTTCTTCTTCTTCTTCTTCTTTCTTTTCCACTTCTTTCTTTTTCTTTTTACTTTTCTCTTTAATTTCCTTCTTCTTTTCGACTTTTCTCTTTTGTTCTGGCTCAGTTAATTTGTCCATATTTGAATAATCCTTCTTCTTCTTCTTCTTCTTCTTCTTATCCTCGTCCTCATTCTGTATCTTCTTCTTTATCTTCTTCTCCTCTTTCTACTTTTTCCCTTTCTTCTTCTTTCTTTTTTTTCTTCTTCCTTTCCTTCTTCTTCCTTTTCTAATATCTTAATTTTTCTTTTTCTTCTTCTTCTTCTTCTTTAATTACCAACTCACTGAATTAACTTTAACTTCTTCACACACACTTTCTTTGTTTCTACCTTACCATTTAAATCTCTTCTATTGCTTTCGCTTCCATCTATCCTTCTTTTTTTTATTCTCTTCACAAAAATCTTAGCTTTTTTTTTGTCATTCAACTATCGTTACATAATTATCACTTTTTCATTTTTTCTCTTCCTAAAAGTCTTAGGAATTTTTTTTCTTCATTTCACATATACATTCACAGAAAGATGCCTATTTCGTTTTCCTTGCATCTTTTAACAATAATTTTACTCATTCTTTTTTCATCTTTTCAAATGACGTTTGTTCGCCGACCCCCCCCCCCCCCACCACCTTCACTTTCTGCCGTTCTATCCCTTCACGTGACTCATAATCTTCCACTTTAACATTCCTCGAAAAATTTAAAACGGAAGAATGGGACCTTTTCTCTCAATTTTCCTATGAGCATAGCATGATAACATAATTAACATTAGAACATATAAAATTCAACATGTTTAATGAATATGTCCTGATGATGGTCTAAAATAGACCGAAACGTCCGACGTCGACTTTATATTAACATTAATACAGCATAATTGCATGTTAAGATTTTTGTTTGTTTTTTTCTTTATATTTTTCTTCATGCTGTCGGATTTATATCCATATATTTGCTTATATATATATATATATATATATATATATATATATATATATATATATATATATATATATATATATATATATATATATATATATATATATATAGAGAGAGAGAGAGAGAGAGAGAGAGAGAGAGGAGAGGAGAGGGTGGGAGTAATGGATTGCAGCTCGGATTGAGGAATCGGAGAGCCGCGTTCGAATTCCAGTCAATTTCATTATATTCACTTACGTGCTAATATCCTCTGGAAAGGTATGGTTCCATTTCGTCTCCACTCCCACGAACTTTGGGTAATTACCAAGACATACTAGTCTTCTCTAGGCTCTGTAGTCTTCTCTATAAGAATGGTAACTCTGAATTCAAAGTATGCGGGTAGTCATTTGTATCAATCCCCTATTCCGCTCAAACCTTCACCATTATAACCAACTAGCTGTTGGTTCTAAGGAATGAGCTGCTTGACCCTCATAAGTAGAAAACGGCGTGGAGAGTCCAGTACCATATATATATATATATATATATATATATATATATATATATATATATATATATATATATATATATATATATGTATAAGTTGTGTCTATTTTATGCAAATTTTTTTCACATCGTCTGATAAACTTAATAACATTATCATTACAAAAGAAAATCAGAATATTGATAATGCTATCTAAGCTTTCGTCTTACATAAGCCAGTATCAAAGATGACAATTACATTAAAATATTTTAACCAATATACGGACAAAACAATAATGATAATCTCCTTTTGTTTGCATGGAAGATTTCCAAGCAACGACAAACTCGTGCATACGAGACGCTGGAAACGAAAATGGCACCGCAGCTTATGACATCACACATGACCACGCGAGAGTGAAAACGAGAAGTATTAAAGATATAAGCAAATATATGGATATAGATCCGACAGTATGAAGAAAAATACAGAAAAAAACAAACAAAAATCTTAATATGCAATTATGCTGTATTAATGTTAATATAAAGTCGACGTCGGACGTTTCGGTCTATTTAAGACCATTTTCATGGACATTTTCATTTAAACATAATTAACATTAGAACATATAAAAATTCAACACGAAAAGACTATGGACATAAGAGCACAACAAATCCAAACAGATAACTGAAATTTTTATATAAGATCAGCGTTCCGTTTAAATATGATCACGTCGTCCTCACGTGGGCGATGTTGTGAAAACGTATTCGAAAATATTAAAAAAGTCGATTGAACTATTTTATATAAAGAGTTCAAGAAATCCCTTCCGTTGATATAGGAATACGCAGAGATCAATAGGTTCTTATATCTTCATACAAGCTTGAAGTCCTCCACGTTACAAAGCAAATCAAAAATGATTTAAAAAACGATGGAACAATTTCAAAAAACAGTTCGATAATAAATCTTTTCCTTACTTCAATACTTCAATCAATAGATATATATATATACCGTATTTTCCAGTCTACAAGACGCTACAAAATGGAAGACGCACCCTAATATGGGAAAGAAATTTCTAAGAAAAAAAAAAGCATTCTCATACAACAACACATTCAATCATTCTTCCCTCATTTGCAGGCGCTACGCATAGTTTACATTAATCACTCGTCCGATTTTGTTTGTATGCCAATGACATGCTAAACAAAGGCAGAAAAGTTGCCGCCACTACTAGTAAGCCAGATCATGTTTAAGCTCGTGGCTCGGCTCCAGGAAGATTTATAGTCTTGGAAATATTTGTAACAGCTAAGTACTGAGGTTACATCACATAAAAATTTTGAATTAGATAGATAGCTAACATTATAGAAACATACAATTCCACGTTCCTATCAGTCAAGAGAATTAAGTGACCGTCACAGTTTACTTGAGCCTGGGCGTTGCCCTGCAGTCATCTTGGAAGATGCACACAAATTTTTTAGGCTATTTTCAAAAAGAAAAAAAGTGCATCTTGTATGTCGGGAAATACAGTATATATATATATATATATATATATATATATATATATATTGTTGTAGGATCCACCAAATTTGCATAGTGGAGTACCGACCATATAAATATGGTTGGTACCGGAAGAGAGGAAGGAATCAAGAGATTCAACCAGAGACTCTGCCTCAAACTGCGACTCAGTCAACACATTCTCCAGGAACGGTCTTACCAGGAATATACAAAAGACTATATGTAAATATTGTGTACACTTTCTTGTTTCAATACATTTTGTTCTAAGTACATTTTGTGTTGCATTATTATTCCATGCATTATTCAAGTTTCAATATATATATATATATATATATATATATATATATATATATATATATATGTGTGTGTGTGTGTATGTGTGTGTGTGTGTGCATCCTAATTATAAACAGGTTTAAAAATTAAGTAAAATATAATTCACCGCTACATATCACTCAATGATCTTACCAAACAAACACCTAAGATTTATTATCTACTATAAGAATTTGAAAACATCTAACCTAATTATTATTAACAACACACGTCTTAATGAATCCTGTTCCGTTTGGTGGGGGCAAACCAGTGTAAAAATTGCGTGTAGGGCCTATTGTCCCAAGCGCTTCTTTAACGAATTTCAAGGGGTTTCTTGCTAAGTGTTATTTTTTTCATCGTTGTCTTTTTAAGATGTAGTTGCGTGATGCCTATACAGCAGTAAACTTTTATTCTGAGCTCGGCGAGAGAAACTTGACTTGAATTCGATTTGGCGACTTTCTACTAAAAAAAAGTATACTTCCGTTGGTTAATAAGATTAAAACTGGATGCCAGATATTTTATGTAGAATGCTTCTTTCACAGCGAATGGAGTGTCGACAAAGTAAAATGAATGCTATTTATTCAGAATATATTTAACCATTGAAAATGCCATGATTTCACTACGATACAAGAAAAAACGTAGTTATTTCAGTTTATCGCCTGTGCTTCGTAAATTAGTACAAAAAAATGTGGGACACGGAAACCTTAAGATGGAGGATTATTTAAATGCAAACCACGTCTTGTGGAAATAAAATAATTTTCTGAAGATTCCGAAAGTTGTCGAAAT